TCAACCTCAAACTACGCGATTTCGTCGTCTCATTGAGCGCACGTATGCCGCAGTAGCGCTTGATTCTTGTCTCTGCTTTCATACTTATACTGTCACTAAAAGAACTGTTCAAAGAAAGCGAATCCCATGCGACCAGCGTGGAAAAAAAACTACAAATGAACATAGAGGTTAAACAGAAAAGAACTGTTTGGAACAGCCAAGCTAAGTACTTAGTGACGGACGAGTGATAAATTTCAGCCAGGTAAATTCAACAGACTAAGCCGAAAGCAAACTGCAGCTTAATTCATCCGGCTATTGCAACCACTGGAATGATTATTTAACGTGCATTAAGTTTTGCGCTTGAGCAGCATACGCCACTTGGCTTCATACGACGTTCTTACTTCAACGCTGCCTTTTTCTTTTGAAAAACAGTTTGTCAGTAACTTGCTTGATACCGCTGTCCTGAATGAAAGTCGCTCTTCTCAGGGTAGTACCCTTCCTCTACTTCCCATTCTTGTCTTATCCAGAGTGAAGAACGACTTTAATGCACATGAAGAAAAATATTTATTGCGCAAGAAACTTGTCGCGCTTTTCGTCTACCCCCCAACTTTCTTACCCTTTCTTATATGGCAAAAGAGGTTTAAAAGCGAATATGAGTTTTTAAAAAAGGCTTCTTAGCAGCCTGTTTTTGCTGCCTAATTCTATCATTTATTTTTATCAGCCAGATGACTCCAGTTATTGAGTTGAAAAGACGAACTGAAAAGCATATTAATCCTAAATGCTTTTCTTTTTGAAGTGAACAAAGGTTTGCGTGCCCGGAACGCTGAAAAAAGCTGCCCAAAGTTTTTCTAACAATGTTAGCTACAATAGCCTTTACCGTAGCTTTTTAAAAGCCTGTAAAAGTTTTTTTCTTTAATTTTCTATTACTAACAAGATGAAAAGGATGAATGAGCTAAGGAAATCTCTCTCCTACCTAAAAGTTTTTCCGAAAAGTGGTTAAAGGTGCTCATTCTCAAAAATGCTTTTTTTTACCTCGGATATTTTTTATTCCTGGGCACTGGTTTCTGAAACCCGTTAATTCATTTGCTATAGTTTCTGACCTGTCTGTATATGCATTTTCAACGATTTAGTGCCGAAGTGCCTTTTTGACTTTGATAGGGTTTTACAACACCGTTTTACGAGTGCTGAGTGGTGTTGCGAGTACCGATGTAGCTCTGCAATCAAATCATAGAAATCTGACGGACTCAAATTCATTCCCAATACAACTCCGTTTATCACGGCTTTTACTTCTGTTGGCTAGGTTTTCTAGCCTACATTAAAATATCTGAACAGTTGCAGTTTTCTACACGATAATTAATGAATTTTCTGAGGAACGACCTAAAATAAGTACTCATGAGTGTCAAAAAAACTCTTAAAATTATTTCTGGTCAAACTTTTTTTTTTTGCATTTTTTTAACCAAAAGTTTTCATTATGAAAGCATTTCCACTATAAGCACTGTTACAGTCGCAGAAATACTTACAAGAAAGCTAGCAGAACTCCTAGCAAAATAATTTGGTTACGACCTGTTACACCATCTTTTACAAAAAATGCGATGTTTTGAAACGCTATTGGAGTGAAAACGATACTTCGGAGATGCACTGTTAAAAGGGTGGAAAAAAATACAGAAACACGTTCGAGAAAACTATAGACAAATCATGATCGAGAATCCTTTGTGCAAAAAATGAAAATAAGTTAGTGGCAAAAAAAAAGTACTTTAGGGAGGTAGACACAACTGTCGGCAAACGTGTGTAAAAGGGCAACGGACAACTTAAATTTGTTCACTTCGGTAACGAGTTGGCATTTTGGTGGCCCTTCCATTAACTACAAGAGACAGTGAATAACGGAATGGAAATCTTACAACCAAAAACATTAAATTCTCTCCTTGGACCACCTTTCCTTCCTCCATGATTTCATTAAAAGCTCCTCCTTCGTAAATTTCGGTCAAAAGCAAAAACGAAAATTGAGAACTTCAAGCGGCCGGTGCTACTACGTATAACCCCTCCTCGGGTCATTTTGGGAGACGGGTTACAAGAGGAGAACGAGGAGTACAGTTTGGCAAACGTTCTCCTTGCTGGAATGTTGCCAGTTCGATAGGCTTTAAAAATTCTTATTATTTTTGTGGGTTTTTTTTTTTTGATACATCGTATGTTTAGCTAGGCACAATGGTGGATGGTGGCGATTCTGCTAGTTCAGTCTCATTTTGCTGGTCCATACACAATTATTTCTTGTATATGCGTTACAGTCATATTGTCGAGGTAATTATTATTAATTTCTTTCAGGCTATGACGCCGGATGGCAGACCGCCACATGCCCAGTATCTTCCCTGAGTGTGATCAACTGAAACAGGTAACAAATATCTAGGTATCCTGATCTTTCTCCGAATAATCTAACGTTATCTGCGAACATCATTTCTCTATTTATGTTCATTGTATTGTTGAGCTGTATTTACTTTGATGATCATCCACACTCATTTGTAAAAAAAAATTAACGAGAAGTTTCTTTCATTGATTAGAGTTAAGTGTTGAATCCAAAAAAAATTTTTTTAGCCAGGTTTTTACAGACGTAAGATGTTTTCAGGTTTACGATAAATGCTTTACCAGTTTTTTTCAAAAGTTTATCAGCCCGGAATATTCACATTTGTCGAACACAAATCCTTGTGAGCAACTGCATGAAAGTTACAGGAAGTGTGTTGAGCAGGTAAGCTGCTGTCAGTTCTGAATGTTTGTTAATTGATTACAACTTTGAGGACATTTCTGAGTTGTTGACTCTTGTTATTTTAAGCATCTTGAAAAGAATAAATTGTACGATATTGATCTGGAAGAGTTACGTAAGGAAGTTTTAAACACAGAACACGACCGCCTAAAGGCGCAACAGGAAAAGCGTGTTGGATAGGCAACCGCTTCCTCTGCTCACTTCCTTCAGTAAATTTTTGTTTACAAGAAGATCCTAACTTTAGCTTAACTTTTTTAGTATGAGGTGTAATTGAAGCTTTTGCTAGTAGTTGCGTTGCTTTCTTTATTGAGAATCACATAAATTTATTTACAAAAGCTTGCGGACTACAATTACCTACCTTTTTAGAAAAATTTGGTGCACTAACCAAATTTTTTGTTAATAAACTGCGCTTTTAGATATTTCACGTTATTTTATTGGAAGATGGATATTAGTGGTAGTAGCGGTCCTGGAGTTCCAATAATACAGGATTCTGACGCGGAGTCGCGCTTTAACCAGCTGGAACAAACTTTGGAGAACTTTCAGGTTTGCTGAAATTACTAATTTCACCGTAAGTGAAAAGTGGAGAATAAATTAGTTGGAACATTTCAAAACTCGTGTTTGCTTTTTGAGGAAAACGCTAGACAGATGGGTGTTATAGCAAGTGATTTTACAACACGAAGTCAGGATCCGTTAAATCAGCGAATTCATACTCTTACTTCTGGACTTCATGTTAGCAGATTCAAATCTTTTTAAGACCTTTCCCTTATGTAGTAGGAAACCACCTTTATAAAACCACTACTTTTTTTAGGAGCTGGATAGATTGAAGAATCAGTTTATGGACGTAAATATTCCATTAGAGCTTTTGAAGTATCTGGATGATGGCAAAAACCCTCAATTATATACAAAGGAATGTCTGGAAAGAACACTTGCGAAAAATAAAGAGGTATAGTGTGATTTTTTTTTGGAATGAGCTTTTTTCCAACAATTTTTTGATTCAGACGATTGATTTTCTATTCATTTTTTTCCATAAGATTTAGTTTTGAATTTGTGAAGATTTTCTATGCCTTAACAGACTGTTCGGATCATTCAGTTACAGAGATGTGATTAAATTTTTTGGTTTTTCCGTAAGCTTAATTCTACACCTGTTATTTAGTCATGACTGTTTTTATTTTTCATCGCACTTTTTCTATTTTAAAACTCTTCAAGGATCTTAACACCAAACTGCTTCACCCTAACTCTTGTTCTTAATGATATGGTGGCAGTTATTTTCAGGTTAACGGTAAGATTGAATGCTATAAGAAATTCAGAACGTTGCTTTTAAAAGAGCTCGGCGAAGAAATGCCGAACGATGCTGTGATGTATCGGAGCTTGAGAGATAGGACGGGTAACTCACCAGCTCGAGATGTAGATACGAGCTTGAGTGGTTGAGATTGACTGAGTTACGTTTTACTCCATGGTGTTGCAAAGGCGCATTTAGTGCTCTGCAAAGCTTGTTTAAATTCCAAGTTGTTTTTTTTTACCTACCTGGTCCTCTGTGTTATTGAGCATTTTGCTGAATTAAAATAATTTGTGTCTTGCTGTAGCCAGTGTCTTCATCTGATTTTATCCTTTTAGTGAAAAATTGAGGAATTGGTATATTATATTTCTACTGTATGTTTTGAGATTTGTTATATGTATTTTTTTGCCGTTTTTCGGTTTTGTGAAACAGTTTGCTTTCAGATATAATAATTTGAAATCAGTTGTTGGAAGTTTTAGGGACTGAGTTAATAAAGTATCTTTTATAAGCTTCTCTTGTACCAGATGGTTCTATAAAATCGCTGTAGTTTTATTTTCTATTGTAGCTGCATGAAGAAAAACGCAGCAGAAAAACAGATGTCATTACGAAAATTGTTTTAGAAATTTGAAACCCGAAAATGGAAAGCACTGCTTTTTTGTTCATTTGAAGTTACCTTAGTAATACTTAGATTTAAGCTGTTGGTATATTTTTCACAGTAAAGTTGTTACCTTCTGCTGGTAACTTGTGCAATTAGGACTTAATGTTTTGTTGGCTTCACGTGGTTTACAAATTTAGTTTATGAGAGTTGAAGTTAGCCACTGAGAAACACGAAAGCCATTCGAAACAGTGGTTTTTTTTTTT